ATTGCATGTTCGATCAATCTCCGATTGTAAAAGTTGGTAAAAATCTTCTATCTCCTCTTCCTTGGCTCTGGTTGTTGGTGCATATATTTGAATGAGAGTGGTATTCACTGGACTTCCTTGTATGTGTATAGATATTATCCTGTCACTGACAATATTGTACTTCAAGATTACCAAATACTTTTTCCCAGTCTGTGGCTTCCCTTTTAATCCTGCTGAAGAAGTTTTTGGATGTGCATAAGGATTTTATTCCTAGAAGGTCCCATTCATCTATTTTATCTTCTCCTGGTTGTAGATTTTTCAGGATATTTGGAAGACTATGTTGTGGATTAGGACTTCTAGAGTTCTTCCAAGCTTTTCTTTAATGACGTTTATAGTCCTTGGTTTTAGTCCTAGGTCCATGATCCACCCCAGTAAGAATAGCAAAATTTAACAGAACAGCAAAAAACAAATACTGGCGAGGTTGTGGAGAAACTGGAACCCTTATTCACTGTTGATGAAAGTGTAAAATGGTGCAACCACTGTGGAAAGCGATGTAGTGCTTTCTCAAAAAGTTTCAAATACAAATACCATTTGACCCAGCAATTCCACTACTGGGAATATATCCCAAAGAGACCATAACTGTCACCCAAGCAGATATATGCACACCAATGTTTATCGTGGCTTGTTCACAATAGCAAGGAGTTGGAAACAACCTAAGTGCCCATCAACAAACGAATGGATAGAGAAACTGTAGTATATTTGCACAATGGAATACTACACTGTATTGAAAAACAAGGAACTCATGCAACATTATTCAAAATGGGTGACCCTGGAGGACATTATGCTGAGTGAAATATCTCAGTCACAAAAGGACAAATACTGCATGGTGCCACTGTTGTAGAATGGGACTGACATCAGGGTTGTGGGGAGACTGAGAAAGACGGGATAAATAATGTATTCTGTATTGAAAAAGATGAGGTAGAAAAGTGTTTAAAAGGGATATGTGAGGAGGTATTATTGTCATGACAGGAGTCCAGAATGAAGACTGCATAGTGGAGTGGACCTGGGAAGAGGGATTGTAAAACAATGGGGAAACTTTACTTTTCAAAGAGAAGAGTGTACTGGGGGAAGGGGTTGGTAGGGAGAAAAGTGCAACAACGAATGAATGGAAATCCAAAGTCTCTGTAAATTTTCATTAAAATTAATTTTTATGGGGAGCTCTGGTGGCCTAGTGGCAAGAAGCTGCAACTACAATCCCAGAGGTGCGCGGTTCGAATCCACCAGCTGCTCTGCCGGGGAAGGAGGGGCAATCTCCTCCTGTACCAGTCAGATCTG